TGAATCCCACCACTGGGTGTTTTACCTTAGAGCCATGATTTCCATGGAAGCTTAGTTTCTGTGGGATCCTTGGTGCTCTCTGAGGTTGGTGCGTTTCTGGCAGACGTTTCACGACCCAGCTAGGTATCGCCGTCAGTGCTGCGATGGAGAATGGGGTGGAGATTGCCCTGCGGATGATGTTAACACGAAACGTCTGCAGGAAAAACCTCCACCAAACTCAGGAATGCACTAAGGATTTCATGGTCCTCCTGCCCCTCCTTTATTCCTTCTCCTTCATTCCTAGCACTGATGCTGTTGCCTAGTTGGGTCATGAAACATCTGCAAGGAAACCACCATGCTCAAGAGGGCACCAAAGATCCCAAGGTCCTCCTTTCCCCAAATGAGGACCCAGATTATTGGGGGCAAGAGGCTGACTTTGTAAACTGCTTAGAGAGAACGGCAAAGCACTGTGAAGCTATATAAAAGTCTAAGGGCTATTGCAAGACCTTCCTTCATTTCTTTATTCCTTCCTTCCCTCTCTCACTCCCTCCCTCCCTCCTTCCTTTTCATTTACATTTCCTTTTCATTCGTTCGTTCTTTCTTTCCTTCCTTCCCTTCCTCCCTCTGCCTTCTCTGTCTTCCTCCTTCCTTTTCATTTACATTTCCTTCCTTTTCATCCCTTCCTTCCTTCTTTCCTTTACTTCCTCCCTCTTTTTCTACTTCCCTCCCTTCCTTTTCATTTACATTTCCTTCCTTTTCATTCTTTCTTTCCTTCCTTCCTTTCTTTAGTTTTCATTTCCTTCCTTTTCATGTTATTCCTTTTATTTTCTTCCCTTCCCTTTCCTTCATGCAGTGGTTAGAATGCAGTATTGCAGGCTAATTCTGCCAACTGCCAGCAGTTCAGTCCTGACCAGCACAGTGTTGACTTCCGTCCTTCCAAAGTTGATAAAATGAGGACCCAGTTCATTGTGGGCAAGACAGTGTCTCTGTAGATGGTGTAGAAAGGGCTGTGAAGCACCGTGAAGCGGCATAGAAATCCAAATGCTATTGCGACGGAATTTGTGCAAAATTTTTGCAAAATTCTGTGATCCCAGTTTGGGCGCTGGCATCGATATCTCCCTTTTCTCTTTCAGAGAGCCGTTTGATTTTGGATGCTTTTGCCCAGCAGTGCAGCCGAGTCCTCAGTCTTCTAAACTGCGGTGGGAAACTCCTGGACAACCCCCGCCCTGCGCCACTGCCATCCTGCGTGAAACAAGAGAGCCCGGCTTTTAACGAGAGGCCGGAGCACTGCCAACTTGGCAAAATGGCCCACAGCCAGACTTCCGAACACTTCGACCTGGAATTGCAGTACATGCAGAAGAAGCAGCAGACGTCGGCTTTCCTGAGGGTCTTCACCGATTCCCTCCAGAACTATTTGCTTTCTGGAGGTTTCACCACGCAAAACCACGCCTCCTCCGCTGGGGATTTTGGCCCTTTGGCTGACATGGAGCCCCTCTCCACCTCTCCGGTTCACACGTTGGGGGGATGGGCTTCTCCAGCGACGTCGGAGTCCCACGGCCACCCGTCGTCTTCCACACTTCCAGAGGAGGAGGAGGAGGAGGAGGAAGGCTACTGTCCTCGATGCCAGGAGTTGGAGCAGGAGGTCATTTCATTGCAACAAGAAAATGAAGAACTCCGGAGAAAGTTGGAGAGCATTCCAGGTAAAAAACGGACGCGATTGACTTGAGATTTCCAGATAGGATGAATCACCTTTAGGTGATCAACGGAAATGGGCCTGTTTCAGTGGTGGGATTCAACCAGTTCGCACCTATTCGTGAGAACCGGTTGTTAACTTTCTGAGCAGTTTGGAGAATCAGTTGTTGGAAGAAATCTTCTTTTGTTTTTTTCCAGTTTACAGGGCTAATCCTTTAAGGAAGGCAGGAAGGAAATATTCTGGTGTTGTTTCTAGCCTAATCTTTATTGCCCTGCTTACAGAAACTGCCTCTCGGTTAATCCTTAAAACAGCTAAAGGTTCTTGGCAGCACGCCCAAACTTACTATCTCCTGAGCTCCAGAGGTTTTTTTTTCCTTTTGCTGGTACTTTGCTGGGGCTTCATTTTCTTAAAGGGGAAGGGTTGTTTTAAGCTTTTTACACTGCGGTTGGAAGGAAACACTCCCCTGTTGGAGTTCAGCACTTTGAAGAAATAATTGAATAACAAAGCAGAACTGCCAGAAAGAAGCTCTTAATGACAGGGAACCAAGATGAGTGACAGTCAGATGTCGAGATGGCCACGCCCATCCAGTCACATGACCACCCAGCCACACCTACCCAGCTGATCATTAGGGCAGAGAACCGGTTGTTAAATTATTTGAATCCCACCATTGGCCTGTTTCCGGCCTTCAGAGAGCCTCCGGAGCCCAAGGAGGCCATTTTCACCCTCCCAGAGGCCCAAGGAAAGCCTTTGGAGCCTGGGGAGGGTGACAAATGGGCTTCCCAGAAGTTCCCAAAGGCCAGAAGTTATGGGCCCGTTTCCGGCCTTCAGAGAGACTCCGGAGCCCGGGGAGGCCATTTTCACCCTCCCAGAGGCCCAAGGAAAGCCTTCGGAGCCTGGGGAGGGTGACAAATGGGCTTCCGAGAAGTTCCCAAAGGCCAGAAGTTATGGGCCCGTTTCCGGCCTTCAGAGAGCCTCCGGAGCCCGGGAAGGCCATTTTTGCTCTCCGGGAGGCTTGAGGAAAGCCTCAGGAGTCCAGGGAAGGTGAAAACTCCCCCCTTCCCCACCATGGTATTGCAAGGAGGCGGACATGCCCATCCAGCAACTGGGCAGAGAACCAGTTGCTAAAATTTTTGGAGCCCACCCCTGAACAAAGAACTCCCCAAAGCCTTTTCTGATCCAAGGGAGGAGTAGAAGGGGGAATAGAGCGAAGCAATGTAGCTACACAGGCAGTCCTCGACTTACAACAGCTGTCTTGGCGGCTGTTCAAAGTTACCACAAAGTTATGGCCATTTATCAAACGGCTGTTGTAGCATCCCCACAGTCACAGGATCAAAATGGAGACACTTGGGGATGGTCTCACATTTATGACGATTGCGGTGATTTCCCCTTTTGCTGACCTTCTGACAGGCAGTCAATGGGAAAATCTGGGTTTGCTTAACAACCGTGTTCTGATTTAACAACTGCAGTGATCCACTTAACAACTATAGGGAAAAAGGTTGACACATGGGAAGAAATTCACTTAACAAATATTTCACTTAGCAACAAAGGCTCAATGGTGGTCATAAGTCGAGGACTACCTGTACAGATACTCCTTGACTTACAACTGCAGTGGAACGCCCAACCGTCTTGCCATGGCTGTTAAGTGAGCCACTTCCATAACTCTCCCATCACTATTTCCTTCCTTCTCCTCTCTTTCCCTTCTCTTCCCTTCACCCTCCACCTCTCCTTCCTTCCTTCAATCTCCCATCTCTAATTCTTTCCTTCCTTCTCCTCCCTTTCTCTCTGTCCTTCCATTAACTCTCCCATTGCTTCCTTCCTTTCTTCTCCTCTTTCCCTTCTCTTCCCTTCACCCTCCATCTCTCCTTCTTTCTTTCCTTCCTTCCTTCCTTCCTTCCTTCCTTCCTTCCTTCCTTCCTTCCTTCCTTCCTTCCTTCCTTCCTTCCACCTCCCATCTCTCCTTCCTTCCTTCCTTCTCCTCCCTTTCCTTTCCCTTCCCCCTCTCATCCCTCCTTCCTTCCTTCCTTCTCCTCCGTTTCCTTTCCCTTAACCCTCCCATCTCTCCTTCCTTCCTTCTCCTCCCTTTCCTTCTGTCCCTCCATAATTCTTCCTTTCACCCTCCATCTCTCCTTCCTTCCTTCAATCTCCCATCTCTAATTCCTTCATTCCTTCCACCTCCGATCTCTAATTCCTTTCTTCTTCCTTCCTTCTCCTCCCTTTCTCTTCCCTTCCTTTAACCCTCCCATCTCTCCTTCCTTCCTTCTCCTCCCTTTCCCTCTATCCTTCCATTAACTCTCCCATTGCTATTTCCTTCCTTCCTTCTCCTCTCTTTCCCTTCTCTTCCCTTGACCCTCCATCTCTCCTTCCTTCGTTCCTTCCTCCCTTCAAACTCTCATCTCTAACTCCTTCTTTCCTTTCACCTCCCATCTCCAATTCCTTCCTTCCTTCCTTCCTTCCTTCCTTCCTTCCTTCCTTCCT